GAGTATCTTGGATTTTGGCTGAGAGATTAGAAATGGATTTGATAACAAATTAGTGTGTTACTAATATCCCGGCATTGTCTTCTCTTCATTGCGGGTTTTTGCGTGAGCGAGGAACATGGCAGCGTCAGCCAACGTGGTTCCGGGCCTTCCAGTGGAATCTCCCGTGATGGACAGTTAGAAACAGGCAAAACAGATACTTGCTGCTGACCGAAAAGACACCGATTCAGTGGGGAAGCTGTTGATCTCAACTGTTTAAACCTCAGCACTGTTCCCAATCTGGCACAGAATTAATCCCTTAAGAAAGGGATGAAAAAAATGCCATTCAGCACAACATAGTTTGTCATCGCATGCATAATGCAGACTTTCCAATTAGAATGCTACAATTTGGAAACTTTCTTCACAGACTGATGAGAGAGCAATTATTTTAAAGAAGGGAAAACTCAGTCCACTGGGTTTGCCTCAAGTCACTTCTGACTCAAGCCGCAAAGACAAGAGTTTTGAAAACATATTCACTATTGAATTTTGTATCAAAACAGCAGCAAGGAGAGCAATTAGTTGCTGTAAACTGAACCCCGGTAATCAATGGTATGCAGCCAGCCAGAGCATTTATGGAAGATGTAAGCAAAATCACATCTGCTAATCAATTAAAAAAAGCCCAGCACTTCACTGCTTTTAAGAGAACTCCACAATGAGACTGAAGGAAGATGGAGGAGACAACGTTTAATATCACCGGTCGTTTCATGCGGTGCTCGTTAGGGAGAGGGGTTTGTGGCAACAGCCAAGTAAGACCTGATCTGCATCAATAGATCCTGGCCAGTGGCTTCCTTTATCCAGCCCCTTCTGGAAATGGCTTCTGATGTCTGGGTGGAGGTGTGTTAGATGTAGGGGGATGTGTTTAAGGAGCGCCTCTCCAATAAGGTCAGAGGGAGTGTGTCTGTCCTGAGCGAGCTCCCTGAGTAAACGTTCCTCAGCAGATTACAAATCAGAAGTACCTCTGTTGTTGTAAGTACACAGACATGGGAACAGACTGCTGGCAAGGGAAGAAGTGAGGGAGTTGGTGGGTTTTTCAGTTGTGCCTTATTTGAACAGAATTCCTCTCCGTGGAAAAAGAGAGTGAGCCAATTTTTTCTTTAGTGTCCTTAGTCTGTGCTTGCTTTTCTTCAGCTGAATCAACAAAGGGATTTTCATTCCTGGCTAAGTCTAAATTCCAAGCAAATATTCATCCAGGCACATGAATTAGAATCTCTCTTAAAAACTCCAAAGTGTAGGTGGCTTGATCACCTGAGATCCATCAGTGTCCCTTTTCCACTCAGGAGTCACCATGACCCTACATTTCCAGCCCCCAGGGACTCTTAATAGAGGAATAGAAAGGCGATGACTCAACCACTGTGTGCGTTTGGCTGCTGGTCAGAGAAAAGCATTTAGGCCAGGAGAAAGTATTGAAGTAAAGATCGATAGACTGAGCTAATAAAAATTAATATCTTCAGCATGCAAACTATGATAGGCAGTAGATTAATATCCTTCAAATATAGAGGGCATCTTGTAAGTCATTAACAAAAGGATAAATATAAGTAGAAAATGGGTAAAGTGTTCAAGTTCAATGATAAGTAAAAAGCTGCAAATTAATGACATAGATTTCATCTATCAAATTGTCGGTATTTTTGGGCGCCTGGGTGGCTCAGTTGGTTAAGCGACTGCCTTTGGCTCAGGTCATGATCCTGGAGTCCCTGGATCGAGTCCCACATCGGGCTCCCTGCTCGGCAGGGAGTCTGCTTCTCCCTCTGGCCCTCCCCCCTCTCATGTGCTCTCTCTCAAATAAATAAATAAAATCTTTAAAAAAAAAAAATTGTCAGTATTTTTAAACATAATACACAATATCGGCAATGACGCACAGAAGCAGGCATTTGTTATATATACATGGCTGGTAATGTGAGTATAAACTAGTACAGACTTCTGTTTGGGGGAGGGGAGAGGTGTGTAGCCTTTTGTAATACGTGTCAAGGCCTCACCTACTCTACCCCAGGAGTTTCACTTACAGAAACTTTACAGGCAGTGGTCATAGATTTAGCATAAGAACGTTTCATCACAGAGTTTTCCTAGCAATGTAATATTACCAACTACCTAACTGTCCAATAATAAGAGACTGATTAAATAAATCGTAGGACATCCATAAGGTGAAATTCTGTGAAGCCAGTACATACGATGAGAAAGCAAATTTGATAGATACAAAAGAAAGGTGTTCATAATAAATCATTAAGCGAAAGAAACAAGTTCCAAATAATTTGCACAGACTGTATGTGTTTACAGAATTACTAGAATCACAGGTGATCTTCATTTTAAAATAAAAATCTGTCTTGAAACAAGTTGGAGGACTTTATAGAAAAAGCTACTAAGGGACAAAATATGCACTACTTTAAAAATTCTTTTAATATCCTCTCACTCCAGGAATTTCTACTAGAGCATTTGTGATACTTACTTATAATTGGTCTTCCTTTTTATCTTCTTCATATCCCATCTCCTCAGGGCAGTCTTTTTCCATGAAATATTTTGAGATCTGGTTAGATTCAATCCCAAAAGGGCCTGATTATTTTCCTTTGGATACACTGGTAGAAACACTAATTCATGATTATCGAGAAGGATAGGGATTATGATAAACCTGGCTCTCCACAAATAATCCAAAATCCCATTGGGGAGATAGCCTCAGCATTGTTTCCCAAAAAGCCTGTCATACCAGCGTTGTTAAGTAAAGAGAATGATTAATTAATTTGAAGATTTGTTTTCTTGTTTTTAATCTACTCTGGCAGAGTTGTAAATTATTTCAGTCCAGAACATGTTTGAAACATACACTATGAACAGAATCCTTATGTTTGGAGTAGAATTTTTTTTTAATGAGAAGATCAACAGTCTTTCTATAATTTTTATAAGAGCTAGACAAACATAGAAATAAAAATTACACTTTTAAAAGTTACTCAACATAAATGTAAATTAACAGGCTAACTGAATAAAAGTTCTAAGAAACTAGAATAATATTCGAGGAAATGACTAATGAGGGAAATGATTCACTTTCTTATCAGGCAAGCTGGTATAATCTGAAAGCAGAATTATTAGACACCTAAAAACAATAGGGTGGGACCCTGTCTGATTCATTCAGAGTACTTTGAGAGATTAAATACCCAGGCGAATTGAGGGGACTACTCGGGTGAATTAAGGTGGAATGTGTTTCTGCTTTACTTAAAAGATGAATTCCAAAATATTAGGGAGTGTGGGTTTTGTCATTGATAGCAAACGAAATTACACTTGAAAACAAGGAACAAAAGGTAAGGGGAACACAGTGTCATTTCTAATCTCCACTAACAGCGTTATCGGTGACACTAAACTGAGCTTGTGTAAAGGGTTTTTACTGATTATCATTGCAAGATCAAGGGCAAATAATATGAACTACTTTTGTAGAGTGATAGTTTGTGGATTGTAAATTGGGACCCAGGTCCATAAATGGGGAGTAAAGGAAGCACTCAGCAAAGGGATGATAGAAATGGGCTTTGGCCAGGACACCAGGTTCGAACCCTCTATCTGCCAGCACTGTTTCAGCATAGACATGTTACTTAACAGCTGTAAGCCTTACTCTCACCATCTGCAATTTGATGAGAATAATAATGCTTGCTAAGGGGATTTTGGAAGCCCTTAATAAGATAAATTATATAGAGCACCTAACATAGGGCCTGGTACACAGTATAAGCATTAAAGAAATGTTGGCCACTATGATAGTAATAATCATCATTATTACTGTTGTTACAAATAAATATTCATTGAATGTAGGCTCGGTGAGACACCATACTGAGTACGTGGGTATAGAAGGATCAGTAAGACATAGGCACTGCCTTCGGGGAGCTCACTGTCTGTTCTGGCCATTGGAGGAAGCAAATGTGCGTGACCGAATGTAAAACAATAGATAGATATTCTGTATGAGAAGGACTTTTGAGGCTGAAATCATAATTCTTTGTTTGTTTTTTCTTTTTGAGGCTGAATCAGAGAACAATGGCCTCTCATTTCCTGCCACTGTGGCACTTTCAGAAGCAAAATGCTGGACTGTTGTCTAATCCTGTGTTACAATACTTAGATTCTTTTCTCTTATTCTTTTTTTTTTTAATTGAGGAGTAACACACATACAGGGCACAAATCAACTGGATATTTACTGTGTGCATACCCATGAACTACCACTTGGTCAGACTCAGCACACTTCCAGCATCCTGGAAGGTTCCCTCATCCCCTTTCGCAAGCATTACCTCTCCCAGAGGTAACCACTGTTCTGATTCCTGTCACCAGCGATGAATTTTGTCTCTTTTGAGCTTCATGTAAATGGAATCACATAGTCAATGCTCAGGTTCTTATCTGAGCTAAAAAGGAGATATGAGGAACAGAACCCAAGTAATCTCTAAATAATAAGAAAGTTTTACTAACGAATATATGTTTGTTTATATCTTCAAATCAGATCATTGTACCACAGCTATGCAAGAAGTCTGCTAAGAATGAGAGGGAATCTAAAACATGATAATTGAGGTCATTGGGGCATACTAGTTATTATCAGTCAGGAAGCACAGAATCCCCCCATGAACACTAGTCTCAAGCATATTACCTTTGGTCAGCCCAGCCAACTGGAGATCAATCAGGAGGGAGGATTTGGGGACATCTTCTCACGGATAAGCCAACCCGAAGAGCATCGCCACTCAGGGGACAAGCGCTGCCTGAGATTGGGTGACTGGTGAAAGAAGTTCCTAAAGAGACATGGCTTTCATTGCACACTGACTCCACCTCCTGTCACCAGACTTTTGCCGGGGATTCACTTCTTTTCTCCAGCCTGGAAGCACTGGGGGCGGGGCAGGGTAGGGGGGAAGGAGGCAGGAAGGAGGGCTAAAGTAGACATGGATTTCCTTATGCCAACAGCATTAGGAAAGAGCCAGCTAGAACATTCACAGCATTCTTACGTATTTTCCTTTGTTCAGGTTACTACTTTGGGACTGCGATGATCGAAGCTACAGCTACTATGTTGAGGTCTCCACCAACCAGCAACAGTGGACCATGGTGGCCGACAGAACTAAAGTCTCCTGCAAGTAAGTTTTGTCTTTTCACAGAATTGTTTCGAATTTAAAAGACAGTCTTTCTGATGGATTCAGAAGGTTCTAATGAAGATTTATGGAATCACCAAATTAGATTCTTAGTTGGAGGTTGAAAACATACTGATGATCCTTTACTTCAGTTTTGACTATTAAGTACTTTGATGAGAATTTATTTTTTTTATGTGATCAAACAAGCTTTCCTTGTTTGGTTGTTTGAACTTGACTCTTGGAAATGACATGTCCCCGAGCAGGAAAAAGAAGGATTTCCATGTGCAGTCCTCTCTTGGGTCCCCACCCCTGATACCACACACTACCCCTTTAGAACTGTTTTCTTCCTTACAGAATTTTGCCAATGCAATACACACTTTAGTACTTATTCTGGGACTCCGTTCCCCACCCTCATGTCATTCCCAGGGTTACCTTTAAATATTTCTCTCATCTCGGTGCCAGCTACACTGTTACCTAAACGAAAGAAAGCTTGGTATCCTAGGCCCCTAGTCATTTAATGCATATGGCTTTGGGGCTCCGTTTGCATTTACATTGTTGTGGGGGGAAGCTAAGAGGAAGGATCCTATGGGTTCTGAACAGCCTGAGATCATGACTACATGTGTATATACCCATATAACTCACTCCGATCAAAATTAGCACATTCCCAGAATCCTAGAATCATACCTTTTCTCAGTCATTACCTAAAAAGAGCTCAGTGCCTTTTTGGGTAGAGCCAGATTCTCTGGGAGGCAAGATAAAGCAAAATAGCTGAGATTTCTTTCTTTCTTTTTTTTTTCTTTTTTAAGATTTTATTTATTTATTTGAGAGAGAAACAAAGAGAGAGAAAGAGAGCACAAGTGGGGCAGGGGCCTGCAGAGGGAGAGGAAGAAGCAGACTCCCCACTGAGCAGGGAACCTGATGTGGGGCTCAAGCCCAGGGCCCCGGGATCATGACCTGAGCCGAAGGCAGCCGCTTAACTGACTGAGCCACCCAGGCGCCTGAAGATTTCTCTTTTTTTATTATTGAAATATGATTCACATACCATATAATTCCCCCTTTTAAATGTACAATCCAGGGCGCCTGGGTGGCTCAGTTGGTTAAGTGACTGCCTTCAGCTCAGGTCATGATCCCAGGGTCCTGGGATCGAGTCCCGCATCGGGCTCCCTGCTCTGCAGGGAGCCTGCTTCTCCCT